AAACACACACACACACACACACACACACACACACACACACACACACACACACACACACACACACACACACACACACACACACACACACACACACATTCTCAGCAATACGCGGTGCAGGTGCCGGAGCTGAGGTCAATGGCGGAACGTGCCCGTGCCCAGGCAAGAGTGAAGGTACAGTGGAGCTCTCCGACTTGTCGAAGCACTTAAATGGTGAGGCTGCAGCTGTGGAGACTGGTGGGGCTGAGACAGAGCCAGCGCCAGCGGAGCCGACAGCCGAGGCGGAGATTGTGAGAGCCCCAGGGTCGCACGAGCCGCATGAGGCGTGAGGCGTGAGTGAGTGAGTCTGAGGACTGGGGTATCACCTGCGAGAGTGGCGATGGCATCAACTGGGACTTTGAGGAGGAGAAGGTGAGCCGAGAGTTCAAGATCGAAAGCGCGTCGGGCTTGCAAAGGCGCCGCCTGAGCACGTGGAGCCTGAGAGTGCCCTGGGATGGGAGCGGAATGGGCGTGTCCTTGAGAGCGTTAGCGGCGTTGGAGGTACTGGGATCGACTGGGGCGTGTCCTTCGATGGCTTTGAGGTGGCCGAGGCGGCGCCAGAGGAGGCCACTCCCTTTTTGGCGGAAGGCCCCGTGCCGGCCTCGGCGTGCCGAAGCCGGCTCCGCTTGGGAAAGCGCTCCTTAGGCCCGGGAGCTGTTGACCCGCGAGGTGGCGGAGGCCTCGGCCTTCCTGGCGGAGCGCGCCTGCCACGGGGAGGAGACAGTGGGGAACGGGTGTCGGAGGCAACACAAGACACGCGGATTCGAGCTGAGGCGAAAGTTGCGCCTTTGAGGCCACTGCATTTTGATTCGGCCAGGAGTATGGGCCCAAGGCGTCCTCCCCAACGCAGGAAGCGCTTCAGGCCATGGGGAAGCTGGAGGCGGGTGATGCGTTGGCCGATTGATCGTAGTCTTTAAGCATTTGTTTTTGAGCGCAGGCCGGTTTGCGCAACAGGTTCCAAATATTCCGGTCCAGTGAGAATGGTTGTCGGGCTTGAAAGTGCAGACCCGAACAAGTTAGATTGTCGTTGGGGTGCACTTCCCAACCGGCAGCTGTGCCAGACCCTGCTCTCAGCCCGCCGCACCCAGCAGCTTGTGCTGCTCGCCTCGTCGGAGAGCTACCGGGCCACGGCCTTGAAGCGAAGTTCGGTTGAAAGCAAAAGGTTTCCACGCGTTCGCGATTCTAGGAGCGGACAGCCAAGCGCCTGGAGATTGCGAAGCTGCAGCCGCACGGCCTCGTTTCCCCTTTTTTTTTCTCCAGCTTTTTCCCTGTTTCCCAGGGGAACCCGCCGGGGGAACCCGGGGCTTCGGAGTGCCAGGTGTGGCAAGCCTGCCCAGCGCAAAGCCGAGCTGGAGAAGGCCGGCCGAGACCGAGGCCGGCGTCTGCCTGCCTAGACTTCTAGGTGAAGGCCGACCAGGCAGCGGAGGCCAAGCGCACCCGCGCGGAGGTGGACAAGCCTGCGGCCCAGCGCGAAAGGGAGAGCACCTACAGTCGCTGCAGAAAAGCAAACGAGACCTCGAGCGCAAACCCGCAAACGATGGGTGTTGCCGGTTTAGGTTCAAAGCGACTACTCTGGCGGTGAAGGATGACTTGGAGGTGCAGATGGATGCCTCAAACCAACCAACCAACCAACCAACCAACCAACCAACCAACCAACCAACCAACCAACCAACCAACCAACCAACCAACCAAGCAAGCAAGCAAGCAACCAGCAAGCAAGCAAGCAAGCAAGCAAACAAACAAACAAACACATCGTTCATGTTCCTTTCGCTTGCCAGTGCATGCCAGGCCGAGCTGAGCGCTCACTTCAAGCCTCTCGCCTAGTGTGCCATGGTGTTGGCCGCCCTGCATGAGAATGGCATCCGGTTTGATTTGTAAGCTTTTGCTTGGGCAAATTGTTGATTCCCGAATAGGAAAATATTGAATCAGATATTGACCTTTTCTTGGGGCGAAGACGGCCCCGAGTCTGATTGGTTCCACGTGCCGATGCAGCTTCTGAGTTGAGCTTGTACTATGTGCTCCGCCCATGCTGTCGGCATAGGTCCACTGTGCGCATAGTCGGCGAGATCTCGCAGATGTAACGCATTGGCAAAAGGTGTCACCGAGCGTCAACCAGGCGTTGTACCGCAATCAGCTTTGCCTGGACTTTGGACGGACACCCTTCCCAATTTGCTGCCCGTTTGAGATACGGAACATCTTCGAGAAGTGCTTCGTATTGCGGGGCTTTCTTGCTGTTGCTCGCCAGAAACATGCTATTTGAGGGCGTGGGCGCGCTTGCAACCTGAGCCCATGCCTGGAAGCCCGCAGCGCATTAGCGTCAGTGCCAAGCGTTGCCACAGACAGCAAGCGTTTGGTCCCGGGGGATCGAATTTGGGGTGCGTGTCCAAAGCCTTCAGCTTGGCCAGAGAGCCAGCGTGCCAGAGTGCCAGCCAGAACCGGAATCTGTCAAACAACAGAAACCTAGACTTGAATGCAAGACGCTTCAAGCTCACATGCCGTTCGGCCAGGCTGGGGCATGTGTCGACCTCTGGGACCCTGGCGAGCGTTGCGCCAGGATTCCGGCTACGGGGAGCCGACAGCAGAGGCTGTGATGGAGGAGGCAAGAAATGGCAAGAACCTCCGAGCTTGGTGCTGGGCACATGCACTGCGTCCAGGTTGCGGCCCTGGAAGAAGCTTTGCAGCACGCCTTGGACCCGGAACAGGAATGGGTTTAGTAGACGCTGTGGCTCTCTCAGCTCTCGCTGGGGTTGGAAGGCTTCGGGAGTTTCTGTGAGGTGGGCCGCCGGGGTGAAGGCCTGGCTGCCACCACTTCCCACTTGATGCGCGTCGTGCGCGTCCGCAATGCAGGCTTCGCAAAGTACGACAGTGCCGTGACCGCCTATGGCATCCAACTCCGGGCCTGGGTGGACATGCAGGCTGGGGGCCTGCGGTGCCTGAGGTGCCTGGGTTGGGTGGGTTGGGTGGGTTGGGTGGGCCGGTTGGGTTGCGGGTCAGGAGAAATACCCGTGCCAGGTGGACGCGCGCCTGGGGCAGCTGCTCCCGAGCCTCTTGGAAGGCGAGCTGGAGAGCTTCCGCTCGGAGTTCGCCGCCCAGGAGGCGCGAAAATCTTCGAGAGGCCCCGATTCGACGGAGCTGGAGCCGGCGGGTTCCGTTCGCAGGTGGTGAGCTCCAGATTGGAGGCCCGCGATGTGAGCTTTTCAAGAAGCCGACAGCTTCGTACGTGAGGGGGAGCTCCAAGCCGTCGCAGATGCCCAGGCGACTGGCTCGCGGCTTGCATACTGAAAAGCTCCCGTTGAGTTGACTGGAGGCCAAGCTGCTGCAGGTGGTGGAGGGCATGTCGCGGGAGCTGTCGCGCTTCAAGGAGTCTTTTCTTCTTTGAGTCACCTGCAAATGCCACAGCCTTGTGCTTTCAGCTTCTTTTCGTTGATGTTCAAAGGAGGACCGGACCGGCAGAGAAGCCTGGGACAGCCAGGCACCAGCCTCCGTCGACGGTCCGCGCTCTGTCACCATGACGAGCCACCCCCTTCCTAATGTATATCAAGGGGGGGTCCAATGTACAATATACATTATACATTTTGGGACCATGACCACTGCTTGGCTGTGCACTGCATCTTTGTTTTCAAGCCTCTTCCAATTGGCGACCCGACAAGACAGCAGGGTTGTCCAGCACGAGACAAGCCTCGCCGGCAAGTCCATCGAACATGCGAAACATTTCAACGACACCGAAACCAGGCAGAGCCAGCTTGAATCCGACTAAGCGCAATTTGAAAAACACACATGTGCAAGCCTGCCACTGGCCTCACTCGAGGGGAAGGCGAAAGACCTTGGCACCGATTGCCACGCCATGACTCGTCATGGACTTTGACACTGTGGTTGCTCGGGTCTTGGAGCCCTACTGCATCAACAGCAGCGCCCCGCAAGTTGCACGGCTAGACGATCGAGCGCCCGTCTCAGAGGGCTTCGCGTGCACTGCAAAACACAGAGCCTGGCGAAAGCAGACATGCTTCACATGCTTCACATGTTTCACATGCTTCACAAGCTTGACATGCTTCACATGCCTCACATGCTTCACATGCTTCACATGCTTCACATGCTTCACATGCTTCACATGCTTGGCATTTTTCACATGCTTCACATGCTTCACGTTTTTCCACATGCTTCACATGCTTCACATGCTTCACATGCTTCACATGCCTCACATGTTCACATGATTCACATTTCACATGCTTCACATGTTTTACATGCTTCACATGCTTCACATGCTTCACATGCTTCACATGCTTGGCATTTTTCACATGCTTCACATGCTTCACGTTTTTCCACAACCTTTACATGCTTCACATGCTTGACATGCTTCACATGTTTCACATGTTTCACATGCTTCACATGCTTCACATGCTTGGCATTTTTCACATGCTTCACATGCTTCACGTTTTTCCACAACCTTTACATGCTTCACATGCTTGACATGCTTCACATGTTTCACATGTTTCACATGCTTCACATGCTTCACATGCTTGGCATTTTTCACATGCTTCACATGCTTCACGTTTTTCCACAACCTTTACATGCTTCACATGCTTGACACATGCTTCACATGTTTCACATGCTTCACATGCTTGGCATGCTTCACATGCTTCACATGCTTGGGCATGCTTGGCATGCTTGGCATGCTTGGCATGCTTCACATGCTTGGCATGCTTCACATGCTTCACATGCTTGGCATGCTTCACATGCTTCACATGCTTGGCATTTTTCACATGCTTCACATGCTTCACGTTTTTCCACAACCTTGACATGCTTCACATGCTTCACATGCTTCACATGCTTGGCATTTTTCACATGCTTCACATGCTTCACGTTTTTCCACATGCTTCACATGCTTCACATGCTTCACATGCTTCACATGCCTCACATGTTCACATGATTCACATTTCACATGCTTCACATGTTTTACATGCTTCACATGCTTCACATGCTTCACATGCTTCACATGCTTGGCATTTTTCACATGCTTCACATGCTTCACGTTTTTCCACAACCTTTACATGCTTCACATGCTTCACATGCTTCACATGCTTCACATGCTTCACATCTTCACATGCTTCACATGCTTCACATGTTTTACATGCTTCACATGTTTCACATGCTTCACATGCTGCACATGCTTGACATGTTCACATGCTTCACATGTCTCACACGCTTCACATGCTTCACATGCTTCACATGCTTGGCATTTTTCACATGCTTCACATGCTTCACGTTTTTCCACAACCTTTGCATGCTTCACATGCTTCACATGCTTCACATGCTTCACATGCTTGGCAGGCTTGGCATGCTTCGCATGCTTCATATGCTTCACATGCTTCACATGCTTCACATGCTTCACATGTTTCACATGCTTCACATGCTTCACATGCTTCACATGCTTCACGTTTTTCCACATGCTTCACATGCTTCACATGCTTCACATGCTTCACATGCTTCACATGCCTCACATGTTCACATGATTCACATGTTTCACATGCTTCACATGCTTCACATGCTTCACATGCTTCACATGCTTCACATGCTTCACATGCTTGGCATTTTTCACATGCTTCACATGCTTCACGTTTTTCCACAACCTTTACATGCTTCACATGCTTGACATGCTTCACATGTTTCACATGTTTCACATGCTTCGCATGCTTCACATGCTTCACATGCTTGGCATTTTTCACATGCTTCACATGCTTCACGTTTTTCCACAACCTTTACATGCTTCACATGCTTCACATGCTTGGCATGCTTCACATGCTTGGCATGGTTAACATGCTTCACATGCTTGGCATGCTTCACATGCTTCACATGCTTGGCATGCTTGGCATGCTTGGCATGCTTGGCATGCTTCACATGCTTGGCATGCTTCACATGCTTCACATGCTTGGCATGCTTCACATGCTTCACATGCTTGGCATGGTTAACATGCTTCACATGCTTGGCATGCTTCACATGCTTCACATGCTTCACATGCTTCACATGCTTCACATGCTTGGCATGCTTGGCATGGTTAACATGCTTCACATGCTTGGCATGCTTCACATGCTTGGCATGCTTCAGATGTTGCACATGCTTCACATGCTTCACATGTTTCACATGCTTCACATGCTTCACATGCTTGGCATGCTTGGCATGCTTCGCATGCTTCACATCGACATGCATCTTTGGCTTATGGGTCTGTATGTGGTTAACATGTCGCATGCCGGCTGTGCGAGGCCTTGCAGGGGCAGCAGCAGCAGCAGCTCGCCGAGCTGCTGGATGTCCTGGGAGAGGGCTCCAGGCTGGGCCTGAGATGTCCTTTTCGCAGGGTTCCCTTTCAACAAATTGAGCGCTTGGCCCCAAGTGCGAGCACTTGGCGCGGGTTGAGCGTAGAGTTTCGAGTGGATTCAGAGGCTTCAGCTTTCGGATTCAGGCGGGCCCAGGGCCTGGGCAAGCCCGTGACCGGGCGGCACCTGGGTCCCCACCGGGTCTACGTGCTCTACGGCAGATCTGCCCTGGGACTTCTGAAGGCAGGATCGCAAAGGCTCTCGATGCGACCCATTTGCTGTTGAGTTCCTAGAAATCCCTCTTACTCAGCTCCATGTCGATGTCTTAAGCTTGTTCGAGCGAGCGAGAAAACGCGACCTCTCCTTTTTCTTTCCTGAGCACCTTTTTCCTCTTTTTTTTCTCCCCCGGGTTGAGGTGGGGGTGAAGCGGCTGTTCGTGGGCTGGCAGAAGGGCCTGGTGGAGATCAGCCCGCTCTGCGTCTTGGACTTCTACGTGGTGGAGGGCCACCAGCGGGGCGGCCTCGGCCGGCGGCTCTTCGAGGCCGCGTTGGCCGCGGAGCGCGTCAGCGCGGAGGCCCTGGCCTACGATCGGCCCTCCCCCAAGTTCCTGGGCTTCCTGCGGAAGCACTACGGCCTGGCCCAGTTCCAGCCCCAGGCCCCAAGCTGCAAAATTAATGCCAAACCCAAACCGAAAGAACAGAAGATCGCTTGAACGCTTTGGCTTGTGTCACTGCTTCTTCTTCCATTGAATGTTGGTGTGGAGAGCACCAGACGTAGAAAAAAAGAAGTGAGAGGCGGCTCCTCTAGCCTCTATTGTCGCCTTGGCAAGGCGAACCACTTTGTGGTCTTCGACAAGTACTGGGCCCGGTCTGGGGGCTCCAAAGGCGGTTCCCGGGACTCGCGGGACTCGCGGGACTCCCGGGAATGCCGGGAGCGGGAGCTCATGAAGATCCCGCGGCCAGTGCCCTTCATGGACCGCTCGCAGGGCCCGCTTGCTTCCCGGCGCGCCAGCCCCTTTCAGCAGGCTGGGCAGAGCATCTCGGCGCCTTCCTTGTCGCCCGCCTTGTCTCTGGTGGCAGCAATGGCCCAAGGAAGAATGTGAGCATCGCGCAGGACTTGGACCCTGTGACCCTGTTCACCAATGGGCCCGTTTCACAGAGCCGTCTCACAGGCAAGTGAACTGCTTGTCCGTGCGTTGCCCCGTGCAGAAGTCACAGGGCGCCTTTGCCAATGAGAAGCTGCGAACGCATCACACAGCCGCCTCTACGTGTTCTCTCCTGGATGTTTGGCCTCTTTTTCCCGGTCAGGAGCTGGCCAAGCTCAGGGACCAGGCGCGAGCCGCGCCAAGCCGGCGCTTGGGCTCTCCGATCCGAAGGTGTCCGCCATGGATCGGCAGTTCCAGAACTGGCGCAGCGAGGTGTCCATGGAGGAGACCAGAGAGATCTAAGGCGCAAGTCGAGCGCCCGCGCTTTTTCGCGCAGGAGAGCTCTTTGAAGGACCTCAGTGCCTGGGCTGAGCGCAAGGCAGGTGCTGCACTGGCAGTTTGCTCGTTGCGCCCTTCGAAGATATAATGCTTGTTGGAATCTGTGTGCATACTTTTCTACGATGGTAGATACGCACTACATACTTTTTCTACACGTACGATGTCCGCATATCGATGTGAAGGAGTTGGTCGTGGGATTTTTTCTTGCGCCTCTTTGCCAGTTCACTGCGGAGAGCCAGCGGATCCAGGGCGTGGAGAGGGAGCTGAGCCACGCGGAGGCTCAAGCTGCATTCCGATGGCCGGATTTGGCGGTGGGTCAAAACCGTTTTGGAATCCCATTTGGTTGGTAGGTGAATTCACCACCCATCTTAGAACCTATTTCAGTGGGGATTGGGATGTTCACTTGCGGGTACGATTTAGATTTTGACCCATGGCCATTTGGGTGCGAGACAATTGTGATTGCTTCATGCATTTGTCGTCTTTGCTCTTGGGCTCCTTGAAGCGGTTTCCGAGGCGAATGTGCCGAATGTGCTTAAGCAAGTAAGTAAGTGTGTCTGTGTGTGTGTTAAACGGCGCTGATGTGTGCCCTCACAAATTCGTGTTTTCCGTTGCGAAGAAACAACTCAGTCGGCGCTGGAGGCCCGCTTCAACACAAAGCTGCAGGAGCTGAACTCGGAGGTGGGCTCAGTCGGCTGAAGCCTATCTAAAGCGCACGGATGTGCGTTGGTGTGTGTAAAAGTGACAACCAGGTAGGGTCGGCAGATAGAAAGGCTGACAATTTGATTGCCAACATGCAAAGCGATCCAAGCGCGCACTGAACCACTATGCCACAACCTTGTCTGGAAAACACAGACTCTCTTACCCACTTCCCCCCTCTCCCATCCCAAGTCCATGATATGAAGGGGAGGAGAAGGTCATAAGGTGCCCCCAAGACCCAACCCCCCCCCGCTGCTTGAGGCCGGCAGGAGCAAGCTGGACGTTGAGCCCCGGGCTTGCGAAAGAGCGCAGGAAGGGGCCCGTTGATGTGTCAAGCTGCGACCTTTGGCTTCGGAAAGGAAACCTTGAAATAATTTCTATGATTGGAGGGGTCCCCTTTTCTTTAGGACTTTTTTCGGAAGCAGGATAATTCGCAGCCACGTGGGCTCGTGCTTTGGATATGTCCCATGGTGGTCTGGGCCAACGTCCAGGCAATGTGATGAGTCGCAGAGTCCAATGAGTGGAGCCGATGTGGCGCGTTGTTGCTTCGTAGGCGGATGGACTGTGCAGCCTTCGCGGAGCTTAGGCGGACTTTGAGGTAAATGAGTGTTGGGGGGGGCACGTTTGAGCATTCTGTTTTTCCCGCGAGTAACTTGCGGAAGCGGGGTTTTGTGGATCCCGCTTGCCTTGATGCCAAGTCCAGAATGCGTCCCGTTTGCACAGCGCTTTCTGGCCAGTTGCTTCGCTGGGCTCTTCCGGCCAAGAGCAAAAGCACCTGTGCAGCTTGCTGAGTTTGAGAGGCAGTTGTTTGGATGCCCAAAGTGTCCACCTCTCAGTCTGACCCGTGCTCCGAGGTCCGGCGGAAGTCTTTTGAAGAGCTTTTGCGATGAAGTCCTGGGCGGCGGCACGTCGCTGGCCAGCCTCTACGGCTACTTGGACTTGACGCAGGCCGGAGCCCGGAAGCCGGAAGCGCCTAGGCAAAGCGGAGACGCCCCACGCCAGGCTCTGCTCATGCTTCGGCCGACTTGCCAAGCGGCGGCTGCGGCTGCAAAGGCGCGACTGGGGACTTGTGACGACCGCCTTCTGATTCACTGACTGGTGGCGTGCTGTGCCAATGGGACCCGCCACTTTGCATTTCGAGGATCTCACGCTTAAGCCAGCCTTGGACAGTTTTCGCCCCTGCCCCCTTTGGGAGAGTGGGTCACCGCCATGTTGAACTCGAATTGGGGTCAGCACAATGACGATTGCAGAGGGATGACGATGGCAGGAGAGACCATGCTGTGCCGGGCTGCACGCCCATCCATCCATCCATCCATCCATCCATCGATCCATCGATCCATCGATCCATCCATCCATCCATCCATCCATCCATCCATCCATCCATCCATCCATCCATCCATCCATCCATCCATCCATCCATCCATCCATCCATCCATCCATCCATCCATCCATCCATCCATCCATCCATCCATCCATCCATCCATCCATCCATCCATCCATCCATCCATCCATCCATCCATCCATCCATCCATCCATCCATCCATCCATCCATCCATCCATCCATCCATCCATCCATCCATCCATCCATCCATCCATCCATCCATCCATCCATCCATCCATCCATCAAGAGCAGTAGTTCCAACTTGGCGGTTGCCTTTCTGATGTGGATTTCTCCCTCTCGTGGCTCTCGCTTTGGGAAGGGGATCTCGCCTTTGGACTCGATGGCGCCTTCTGAAGAAGCTGAATCTCCTGCTCCAAAACTCCACTCCTCAGCATAGCACAGGGCAAGAGAGAAAGTTAGAACGGGCAGACCGCGTCTGAGGCTCCAGAGATTGCAAAAAGAAAGACGTACTCTCGAGACCTGGGCGAACATTGTCATGTCACATTCCCTTTGTCGCAGCGCCTCGACCAAACCCGGCCATACATCACCTACCCTGAGCTTTGGTATGGAAGGAGTGCCCCACTGCGCACTGGAGTTTCACAACAGTTTGGGACATCAGAGATAGTTGCGACAGCTGAAAGCTTGAGGCTTGGTGCTGCAACCAAAGTGCCCTAATCCACTAGAAACACGACACCCTTCGGATTTATGTGACATTCTTCCAAGCTTGTTTAGACATGCGGCTGAGAGACAAGTATATTTTATGAGGAACTCTCTGAACTTATTTTGCAGCCTTTGGTGAGGCGCATTGCCCTCAAAGCCGCGGCCAAGCAACCAACAACCATTTGAGAATTTGTCAACCAGGAATTGTGTGAACAAGCTGGTAGTGTCAGCCGAGCATCCAGAACATGTGCGTGAGAATTTGGTGTGCTTGAGAGTGCTGGCATGTAACAAGCCAGGTTGGAGGTGTGATTTTTACAGGAAGGGAGACATGCGTCAACTCCATGTGCAGGGCCACCCACGGCTGCGCAGCCCCTTGGCAGTGGATGTTCAGGAGCAAAGTTGCGTTCAACTTTGCAGAGCTGTGAGCTGAGCGCGAGGACATCGAGGACTTGCTGGGCCACCGGGCCTTCAAGGGCAAGTGGCCCAAGGGCTCCCAGGCGCGCGGCCGAGAGCCCGGACCCGGTGCCCCCCTGGCACGGTGCCGCACGCGCGGCAGGCAGCCCCCGAGGCCATCCTCAGAAAGGCCCCGACCCCAGCGAAAGCGCCAGGGCGCGACCCCTCAGTCCCGTTTCGAGGTGACTCAGCTGCTCCGTGCGGCCCACTCCGTGTCCCAGGCCCTGCGGATGGTTCTTTTCTCCGTGTTTTTTTTTTTTTTTTTCGTTGGTTTTTTGCTTGTTTCTGTGTTTAGGGCCAGTTTCCGGCCAGGACAGCCTCCAGATACTGTCCTTGCCGCAGCGTGGCAGCAACGGCAAGCACTTTGTCTTTGGGCGTTTGGGTTGCTTACGGGTTAAGATGATTTAAGATCATGCATGAATCATGCATAGGCTTGTCTTGCATACTCGGCCGTCTGAGGTTTGGCGTGCCCAATTCCACCCTCCGCATGTGGGTCAGGCTGTCTGCTTTCAAGTCATTTCGACAAGGACGTCAAAGAGTGGGCAAGGGATCCAACCTGCTCTCTGTTCCCACCCCCCCGGCTCAACTCGGCCCAACTTGGCCCCCGGCCCCCGGTCCATTCCCGCGAGGCTGGGTCTGCTGGGCGAGCTGCGGGAGCTGCACCTCCTCGGCCGTGGCGGTCCCTCCGATGCAGGCCGAACGTGCGAACCGGGATCAGATGATCAGAAAGGCAGCCGATCGTCGGCCGCGAGTTCGGACTCGGAGAAAGGCGAGCGAGCCAGTCGCGAGTTTCGTCACGTAGGCCTGACGTACCTTGCGCGGTGCTGCCCAAAGCTGCAGCGCCTCACGGTGCTGGGCGGCAACAGCTCAGCGGCTTCCTCGCTGCTGATGCAGGCGCGACGAGTCATAGTCGCGTTGTTGGATCTCTGAGGGTTTGGCTTTTTTCCTAGCGTTCGCACGTCTTGAGATCCTTGACCAGGCTCAGTCCAAAGGTGCCATGAGCGACGACTGGTGGCGCGGCTTCCGCTGCACCAGGCGCGCGCGCGCGCATCAGGTTGGCCTGCCTTATTACAGCAAGTTCTGTGCATCCCGCGTTGCGCAGGCTTTGCATTTTGCCCAGACTTCAGCATGCGAAGCTGCGGCTGGGCTGAATTGTTTGTTGCTCCGGAGCAGCGAATCGAGTTGCCTGAGGAAGGGCCTTTCTGTACAGAGAGTGCCAAGCTGGTTCTGCGGGCAGTGGAGTCCGATCATGCCTACCTGGGGCCATGAGGCAAGGGCCGGTTGAGGGCCTGGATTCCTGATGGGTTTTTGTTGTTCGGACCACGCGAGCGCCGAAGTTTTCACAGCTCAGCTCTGAAGCAACAGCTCACAGCCTCACTGCCTCACCGCCTCACAGCCTCTCACTGCCTCACCTCTCCAATCGAGACTCCAAAATGACAGAGACTTGAGTCACTTGAGCGCCTTGAACAAAGGCTGGTGGTTTGAAAGCAGATAGCATAGGCGCAGCTTGAGGGTATCTTGCGCCGCGTGTTGTTTGCCATGGGCAGCGGCAGCAGCAGTGTTTGGAGAAGTCAGAGGAAGGTACGGGTGCCTTGGACTTGCGGCTTTTGTTCGCACAACACGTTGGCAACGAGTCTGTGAGGATTGCCTTGATCGCCTTGTGGTTTGTCTTTCTCCGTTTGTGCACATCTGAGGAGGCGGCTGCGCGCTACAATGAGGAGGTGAGGGAGGAGCGCAACAAGATGCAGCAGAAGCTCGCGTCGCGGGCGGAGGACCACCACCGGAAGATGTGTCAGCCTTCTGACCTGCAGTGGTGCTACACGATTCGCCAGGCCTTCCCACTAGCAAGCTCCTCTGGTAGGAAGTCGTCCAAGAACGTCCCGGAGAAGTTGTACTGCATGTCCTGCAACGGCTTCATCCTGGACATATCTGCCGAGTTGGCGTTTCTGGCGTGCAAGTGCTGCTGGGACGTCAGCCTGGCTGTGGCCTTCTGCGCGGCTTGCAATCCCAATCCCGAGAGGAAAGGGAGCCACGAGAGGCCCTCCTCCGCAGTCAGCGGGGCCTCCTCCAGAGCCTCTGCTCCAAAGCTCCCCGCCGTGAAGTCGAAATCCGGCCTCGGACTGAGTTGGGTGAGCTGTGAGCCTGTGAGCTGTTGTCTTGGCTTTCGGAGTGTTTCGGAGTGTTTCGGAGTAAAGTGCCTTGCGAGGTGCCTCGCTGGAACTCCCCGGAGCCCCGTCCCGGAGGTCGCTGGATTCCGAGGAGCGGCGTGATCTCCTGAAGCGGTACGCGGAGGACCGGCGGTCGTCGGACCCCGGCAGCCCCACGGAGAAGGACGTCGAGCCGCTGCGCCGGCTGAGCGAGCAGCCCCCCAGGCCGCCCACCCGGCTGGCCAGGCCACCCCGAGGCCACGCGGCCACGATGTCGCAGCTGCGGCCCATGTCCCGCGCCTCCAGCCGCGACTCGGGCTCCAATGGCTCCAGCAAGGAGCGGCCCTCCAACTCCTCCAGCCGCCACGGCTCCAAGGAGCGGCATGCCTCCGACGAGGGGGGCGAGCGGCCCAAGTTTGCCTCCGGCACCTGGCAGGCCACGATTCGCGAGGGCAGCAAGGTGCGAACAGAGACCCGGAACCTACAGTTCGAGGCAGACGGGTCCATTTCTGGCGAAGGCCTCTTCGGCAGCAGCATAAGTGGGAGCATAGGTATGCCCACCATCCGCTGGACGGAGTCCTATGATTGGGGCACCATGGTCGTGTCGTTGAAGTACCAGCGGGTGAACTGTCAGCTCTTGGAAGGCACTTTTGAGGCCTCCGATGGCGGCTCCGGGGTTATCGCCCTCCGCAAGACCTAAAGCCGTGCCACATGCCACGGCAGGCGGCTAGCCTTAGACACTGGCCGCAACACCTCTTTCGGCATATCCAGTCCGGATGAGCCTAGATTCCCCTATTTTGTGGATCTCTCTCTCTCTAAGGAGTTCTTTGTACAGCGGCCGAAGGAAACACTGAGGCTGGGCGACCTACAAGGTCGGCTTTAGTCCTGCGAAGCAGTTACCGAATTTTGAGACAGTGATCCAGCTTTTTAGGGGCGGCTGGGCAACTCACCGCTCGACTCAGATGTAAGCTTCGTTCTGAAAAGAACCCCACGGAGCGCTGTGGACTTTGTCTTGCAGAGGAGTTGTTGACAATGGAGCAATGGGCCTCCACCTTTCTTAAACTCGCTTGGATTTTGAACACTAGCCCAGTGGTTGATCACACGCTTTGTGTCTGTGTTTCTGGAATTGACCTTGGAGGTGCACTGCTATGACCACCTTGGCCGATTTGTGTGCATGCGCAACGGCATCATCGAACGGGTCGGAGCGCCTCGGGCAGCAGATGGTGGGTCGACGGGGACGAAGATGTGGACGGGTTCCGTGAGGTGGTCCGCTCCTTGCTGCCCTCTCAGTTTGGGCCGTGGTGGGAGCTGGACGTGACCTTCCTGGCGCGCCAGGACCGGGGGGGGAGGGAGGGGGGGAGGGGAGAGGGGGAGGAGAGGGAGGAGAGGGGAGGAGAGGGGAGGAGAGGGGAGGAGGGGAGGAGAGAGGGGAGGAGGGGAGGAGAGGGGAGGAGAGGGGAGGAGAGGGGAGGAGAGGGGAGGAGAGGGGAGGAGAGGGGAGGAGAGGGGAGGAGAGGGGAGGAGAGGGGAGGAGAGGGGAGGAGAGGGGAGGAGAGGGGAGGAGAGGGGAGGAGAGAGGAGGAGAGGGGAAGGAAGAGAGCTCAGGACTGTCCAAGCCAGCTCATCCTGCTCCTGCCGGTTGCGGGCGAGCCGCCGACTTTGGAGGCCTTGCCAGGCTCGGATGCCCCGCTTTCCTTGCTTTCGGCTTTCGGCTCGAGCGGCGCTTTGTGTATCGCCAGGAGCTAAAGAGCCCGCGAGCATCCTGCGCGGCGCCGTGGTGGGGCCCAGCGATGGCATGCGAGACAAGCCGCGAAAGTTTCCGCACCCCGGGCACGGCCACGAGTGGAGGCGCCTTTGTTCGCTTCGCGGTTCTGTGGCGGCGTCTTTCGCGCTGTTGTGCTGAGCTGAAAGCATCCCTTTTCCAGTTCTGCGCTCGCATGTTCCCAGGAGAGTGAGCCGTGCCTGGCTGAGCATCGCACACAGTTCGTGCCAATACTTCCATGGAGCTGAGGTGAGTGCAACATCGAGGGCATGCTACCATGGGGAACCTCGCCTAATTGCGGCATGCCGGGACTGCAATAAAGCCCACTGCTTCCGAGGAATCCAAGAGTGGGCGGAGGCTGCGATCTCCTCCGGCGCGGATGACTCTGTGAGCATGTTCTTCGAGGTGCGGTGTTGCTATGCCCTGTCACCTGCCAGTTTTAAGACGCGCAGGGCGCCAGCAGTGATGACGAGGAGGAGAGTGGCCCGGCATCTATTGGAGGTGACAAAATGGCGGGGTTTTGGTGAGGTTTGACGCTTTCTTCTGGATTGAACCTAAGGCGCCTGTGTCACGCCTCTTGGCTGCATGAACTTCCGCTCCTTTCTAGAGTGCGGGCTGCTCTGGGGTTCAACCTTGAACCCTTCAACTGAAGCTCGAAATGAGGAGGCCCAAATCCGTGTAGAGAGATGAAGCGGTGTCAGGGACCGGACCTTTGCCCCCGGACGCCGCAACCGTGCGAGGAAGAGCGTGGAGGAGCTCCTGGCCCAGCTGGACAGAGACGAAGCGCGCGAGTGGGAGGCCGAAACGAAGCCTCCGAGTGCGTGCGGGAGGGAAACAAAGGCGGCAGTCGTCCTTTGCCGGAAAAAGGAAAAAACCGACAGCAATAAACACAGGAACAATGAGTCTTCCTCAAGGGTTTCGCCTTGTTTGGTCAGGGAAAGCGTTGGGCTCTGGCTCCAAATGGGAGAGACGTGGAGAAGTGGCCACTCGCTCGCATTCCGTAGGCCCACCGGCCCTCCGCACGAGTGGAGGTGGGCAGCGGCTCGGTGCCCAGCATCGAGGAGCCAGCGAGCCGATCCCCCCCTCCCGCCATTTGGGTATGGGTCAAAATGAAACCACCAGGAATTGGACCACAGGTTTTAGTCATTGTTTCCATTTACCGGGGCTGAATTTTGGGTATCTATTTTTTACCCACAGCCCTTTTTCGCGGATGTTCGCACCCGAATTCGAAGTCTTTGATATGGCTGTGGTGGTCAAAACCGTTTTGGGATCCCATTTGGTTGGTAGGTGAATTCACCACCCATTTTAGAACCTATTTTAGCGGGGATTGGGATGTTCACTGGGGGTACGGGGTCTTGACCCATAGCCATTTGGCCACTGTCTTTCTGGTGTTTCATTTTGCATGTTTTTTTTTAGGAGCTCCTGGTGCAGCTGGAGGTGGAGGAGGCTAGGGACTCCGGATGAGAAGTGAGAGATGGGTCTTATCCAGCTCTTTTCGACTTCTCTCCTCTTCTCTCCTCCTCTCTCCTCTCACTTCTCTTCTCTCTTTGTACATTAGGGACAGCTTCGAAGCGGCTGACATCCGGGCTTGCACTCGCATGCCCGTGGGCCAACACGGCCCAGGCACATCGAGATTTCTTGCAGTGATTAGATGTGGAAATCTCGGGTGCCTCCCGGAATTGCTTCGGATCGACACCCGATGCGATGGGCAAAAAGGACCGGCGTCGAGCTGCGCCTGTGCGTAGGCAAGGGGCCTGGGGAGTGAAGCGGATTTGCCCAGGTCCAAGCTAAGCGTCCTACGGAACGACCTTGAGGAGGGGCAGGGAGTGGCCATGACAGGGTTCTTGGCTATGGCCGGAATAGTGGTCATGTTCATCCGACATCTTAAACGGGGCGCCGATTTGAAGTCGAACAAATTTGTGTTGAGACCGACTTGCTCAAGGCGCATTGATGCACAAAGTTTGGGCATGCCAGGCTCGGCTGGAGAACCAGCTGTCGGTGCCAGCCCCAGCCATGCCATGCGGACTGCCAGAGGGGCCCTTTGCGTCAGGCGCGCATCCGAGATCCTAGGGACATGGAGACGGACACTGAGATCCGACTTTTCGAATTCACCGCCCGCGTTCTCTTTCACTTCAGGTCCAAGCTGCTGTCACTCCGCACAGAGCTGGAGGCCAAGGTAGACTCTCTTCTGGAGGCGGGGGGTTCGCCGTGGCTCGATCAAAGTCTCCATGTCACGTCGCAGGGGAAGCTTCGTTCAGTGGAAGACCGCATGGAGAGAGGGCCTTATTGAGAGGGTGCCTGGCAGCTGCATGGCGCTCATGTCTTCGTGGAGGCTTGTCGCCGCTCCGAGGTCTCGTCTTTCCAACTGCCGCATGCAGATTGAGGCCGCGAGCGGAAGGGGACGGTTTTGCTTCAGTGCCCAATTTTGGAACTGTCGGAAGATTGCATGGTCTTTTACGGCTCACCTTGGAAACGTATGAAAGCGTTCAACTTTGTGTTGCCAGCGTGTTTGCATGACACGAAGGGACGCGCAAGAAACACCCATGCATCGCAGAGCTGAACACCGAGTCGAACTTGGCAGGAGAAGGTGGAGAGCTTCATGGGTGACCGCATGGAGAGTCTTCGCAAGGAGTGCCACCAGGAGCCAACGGCAGAAATATTTTGTGTGTCGTGCATGGGCAACGTCGGGACGCGATCGGCCGGGGCTTACGCTTGAGCTTGAGGATGCGAAGGGCTACGTCCAAGATGCCCAGGCCGACGGCCGAGAGGGGAGAGACGTGCGAGACCTGGGACGTGCCAAGGTTCGCCTCAGCGAGGACGTGGCTTCCATGCAGCAGCGCTTGATCTCGGAGTTGCGGGCGGAGACGACGCTGGCGCTCAGCCGCGAGCCGCTTGGCACTTGAGGCTGAGGGGAGAGAGAAGGTCAGAACATTTTGACATGTTCCGACCATTTTGAAGTTTGATGTGCCAAGCTTCTGAGGTCCGCAGCCATCGCGGCTTTGGACGAGCAGCTTTGGATCACGGATCAGCGGCCGGGCTGGGGGAAGAGTCTCAGAAGCTTCGGGAGACCTCCACAGCACCAGGCTTGGTCAGCGCATCGATGAGCTTGCGCACTCTCGTGTCCGTGAGCGTGGTGGCTCCTCGACTGATTTTTGTGCACATAGGCTCCTCCACGGATTTTGGTCAACACACCCTGCCGGGGTATCGGATCATGATCCTCGCGCAACACTCTAAAGGTTTTGTATTACACCCTGGGAATACACCCGTTGGGTATTGACCCCATTTAGGCACATTTCCGGAAACCGGGTTATTTTGAGCAACAACCCTCATAAACACGCAGGCGCCAAAGGCGGCCGGTTGCTGAACTCTTTCTCGGAGTTCCAGGTGGACCTCCGGGTTATGGCCGTGTCTTCTCCTCGCTTCGCACGCAGGAAGAGCTCACGGAGCCAGCCACGGAGGTGCCGACGGGAGTGACCACCACTGTTTCAGTCAGCAGGTGGCTGGACCGTGTAACTGGGGTTTCTTTTGTTTAACTGGAACCGCTACAAGCAGAAGTCTGCATATGCTGCATATGCTAGTATGTGGTGACACGACTCGGCGTCCTTTTCGCGCTCGGGAAGGCCGCCACGCGTGCGAAGCGGGTCACGGGCGGCGTCCTGGCCGCTGCACATCAGGCTGCAAAGACCTTGATGGAGGAGGGGGAACGTTCTGAAAGTTAGGACAGTGACAATTGAAGTATGCTCGGCCGTTGAAGGGTGAAGGATGTAGGCTGAATCAAGCACCTCGCGCATTCTGCGACATGCGCAGGAATGCCGCTACGAGGCGAGGGAATGGAAGGTGCAAACATGGTGGTTGCCTTGCATCGCGTGGCAGGATGGTCGAGGCAATGCGGCTTGGGTCTTTTGCATTTGCTCTTCGGATGACTATGGCCCCTATGGCTTTCTTTTGTCCTTGCCAGATGAGCGCGCGCGAAACCACCGGCTGAGCTCCCGGGAGGCGGGAACTGAGCCGGCATGCGATTGGCCCGACCTCGCCGCGAGAGACTTGCGACTTGCAGGCGTCCTCACCATCGCCGGAAGGAGAGCGCCATCCAACCCGCAATTTTCCATCCACTTTCGTATCTGGAGCGACAGGAGCTTGGCTGAGATCCTCAAGAAGAGGCGCGGCACCCACCCCGTCGAACGCAAGTCGCTGAGATTCAACAGGTGGCGCTCTCGCGGGCTGACGCTGCGCGAGGGCTAGCCGGACTGGGCCATAGCTTGGCTCTGCTTAATTGCTCCCCATGGAGCGGACCTTTGCTATTGATTTGTTTGACATCGGGAGGTCAATCTCAGCAAAGGTGACCTGTAGGATGGTATGGATGGTGTCTCGACGCCGTGGGCGTCGCTTCGACACCAAGTCAATGCGCCCAATAAACTCCGAATGAAAAACCTCAAGCCTTGAAGGACCTTTCGAGGAGGTGTGGGCGGCGCAATTGATGGACTTGATGCCAGGAGCGTACGGATTTCGAATTCCGGCGGCTCAAGCGAACAGCAAGCACAGCCCTTGGTAGCCAATTCAGCAATGGGCTCAACTCCCTGGCTTCACTGGTTCAGCGTGATCACAATACCAGATTAGAGCCACACCTCAAGCAGGTTTTCGGTGCCGCTTAAGTGGGGCTACATCTCGCTGTCCGGTATGGACGGCTGGGGCCCCGGGGGCCATGGGCCCGGAAGGGTTTCTCTTCGCTTCGCGCACCGCGCGGTGCGTCAGGCGCGATGGCAGCCCGAAGCTCAGAGCAGAGCGGAGAGCGCGAGCCGAGCCGACGTTCGGCCTGGCCGAGACCTCGGACTTCCTGCCAACGGAGGAGGCGTCTGAGTGACGAGCCGAGGGCGTTTTCGAGCTGCAATGCCTCAGGACAAGAAGACGTCTGCCAAAGAAGGCACCCAGAAACGTTGGCGTTGACATGGCCATGGTTGAAATCAATGGTACCATTTTGGGATAGGTGCCCCACCCATTGTAGTCTATTTTAGTGGAGATTGGGATGTTCACTGGGGGTACGATTTGGATTTTGAGCCATGGCCACATGTGGTATCCTGCCAGGTGCAGGCGGTGACACGGGGGGCAGCGGAGACGACAGCGCGGGGCCGAGTCGACGGAGTGGCCTGGCTACGCCTGGCTACGCGCCGTGGTTACCACGAGGCTCGCTGAAGAACAAACTCAACGCAGCCTTGGCCGACTCCATGGAGCCTTTGCCCCACTCGCGATTTACTCCGAGTCAAGCTTGCCCGAACCCTCGCAGCCATGCGCTTTTGCAGTGGTTACAACTCCGGTTTTGGCCCTTTGTTGTCTTCACAAGTATCTTAGGCAACGGGGTTGGAGAGTGGGTGCGTGAGTGAGTGAGTGAGTGAGTGAGTGAGTGAGTGAGTGAGTGAGTGAGTGAGTGAGTGAGTGAGTGAGTGAGTGAGTGAGTGAGTGAGTGAGTGAGTGAGTGAGTGAGTGAGTGAGTGAGTGAGTGAGTGAGTGAGTGAGTGAGTGGAGTGAGTGAGTGAGTGAGTGGAGTGAGTGAGTGAGTGAGTGAGTGAGTGAGTGAGTGAGTGAGTGAGTGAGTGAGTGAGTGAGTGAGTGAGTGAGTGAGTGAGTGAGTGAGTGAGTGAGTGAGTGAGTGAGTGAGTGAGTGAGTGAGTGAGTGAGTGAGTGAGTGAGTGAGTGAGTGAGTGAGTGAGTGAGTGAGTGAGTGAAGTGAGTCAGTGAGTGAGTGAGTGAGTGAGTGAGTGAGTGAGTGAGTGAGTGAGTGAGTGAGTGAGTGAGTGAGTGAGTGAGTGAGTGAGAGTGAGTGAGTGAGTGAGTGAAGTGAGTGAGTGAGTGAGTGAGTGAGTGAGTGAGTGAGTGAGTGAGTGAGTGAGTGAGTGAGTGAGTGAGTGAGTGAGTGAGTGAGTGAGTATGAGTGAGTGAGTGAGTGAGTGAGTGAGTGAGTGAGTGAGTATGAGTGAGTATGAGTATGAGGGAGTATCAGGGAGTATCAGTGAGTATGAGTGAGTATGAGTGAGTGAGTG